ACTTGGTTTCAGCAGCTTAGACCCCACTTAGCTTCTGTTTGACAGCTGCTGCAGGTCAGGAAGCGGGGAGAAAGGAAGGGGCAACCGATGATCTTTCGGGGCCAGAGAGAGCGATGCTGTTTGACTGTGCCCATAGGAAATGCAGGGGCTTCGGCCAGACCGAGTCTGGCCAGCTACGGCCCCATCCTCCTTCCCGCTCTCCTCCATGCCCTGACAGGAGGACTAGCACAGTGACAGGTTCAGCAAGATTAAGAAAAAGGAAAAAAAAGGAAAAAAAGCGCTCCATCAAAACCCCACCAAACTCAAGTCTTCAGCCGCTGGCCTCAATGAGAGCTGCTACTGCAGCAAAGCAGAGGCAGGAACATGTGTATGAGAGGGACGGGACCCACAGCCCATGCTCAGATGGATTTAAATCGTTGCAGAGCTGCCTCCTGCCATCAGCTGGGGTCAGGAAACAAGAGAGGGAAGGCAGTGGGGAAGAGCAAACTCTCAGGGCTGACACAGAAAAGCATGGCCAACATGCTTCTCGGCTCTTCACAACAGGCATCCCTAATCCCCATCTTATATGTTTAAAACAGCCTCTCAGTCGTAACAGGGAGTGGGTTTACCAACTCTTTTATTATCAGAGGCAGTATTTTCCTCTGTTCATGCATTCAAATGTGTTGCAGGGGCAAAGGCCTGCTTCCTGCTATTCCCCCTCTCTTGTGGCTCTCATTCCCCAGGGGAAAGATGTGCAACACAGCTCCAGGCCAAGATACTTGTCACAGGCTTGTCATGCAAGATGAGCATTTCAATGCACAACCGAGATGCAGCATTATACTGTAATCTAGCAGAGAAATATTTTACATCAGCAAAGGTGATACACATCACTTGTATCACAGCTGTTGCACACACACACAGATATGTCTATATCTGACCTTTGTGTAGCATCATATTTCCAGTGCTGCTAAGCTGGCCTCATCCTGTTCTACTTTTTCCTAGCAGATTATTTCTATTTAATCCATTAATTCCTTTACTTTATGCTGATATGGTATATCAGAGCATCAGTAAGGGGGCAAGAAGACTGAATCAGCTCTGTTCAGCTTCAGACAACCTTGCTGACTCCAGCTGTGTGTGTGTGGGTCATGGCGCTGCAAGGTCAAAGCACGCTCTTCTGCATACCCCTCCACACGTTTCTGTGCCGTGTAATGAAGTGCCACGACGATTATTGTTACGAACTCTTTCAGAGACTTTATGGAATTAAGAGCCACAGAGAAAGGGAGAAACCAAGAAGCAGAGACCAGAGAGAAATGAGGTTTCAAGTCTCAAACTACCAGTGAGCTGCCAAGATTGGGAAATGAAGATTGCTGGAGAGGGCCAGGCCACCCAGATTACAGCACCAGCAGACGGGGCAGTCAAGGGACTCAAGGTCTGTGAAGAGTTTATGAAAATAAACACAGCTTTTGATGGGGTCCCAAACTAACAGGGAACCAAGTGGATATGGAAAAAGGAGAGGGAAATGGTGGAGAGGGGAAGGGAAAGGAGTTCTTCTGTGCTTTTCCATGCAATATGCACAAACGGCTTAGAGGATTTGTTTCCACAGAGCAGGGCAAGTCCTCCTGGTTTGCAAACTGGTGCATCTAAATTCATCTGGCTCTAGCAGCTCACTGACACCCGCTCGCCCCCACCGCTCAGGCACTGCTTCCTCCAGATTAAGATAAATCACCCCGTAGGCCGATGGCCATCTGGCCACACAGCAGGATGTAAAACCCAAAAGCTCTGTAAAATTAGATAGCGCCCAAAAGGCAGACCTCACTATAGCACTGCGAGCCTCTCTCAGACTAACGTAAGTACGGGTGGAAGCGGAGATATACAGGTTTTTAGGGTCAGGAATTGCATCCAGACTCCACTCAATCATTGTGCTCATTTCAAGTCCTTATAGGAAACTCCTGTATCAAGGGCTGCGTGGCAAAAAGCCAGTCTCCAAATCAATTTTAAGCGTAGCTGGTGAGGCAAGCAGTTCACTACAGACATGGTTTTAATGAAGGCTAAAGCAGAGTCAGATGTCTGAACATACCAGCAGCAGCCCCAGTCAGAGATGTATGTGAAAATAATTGGCACCAGACGGTTCAGGAGCGCTGCTATGTAAGCAGCCTTCAGCCAAGGGTCCCAACACACTCCCCAAAGCAGGGGGAGGAGAGAAAAAGGAGGACTGGAAAAGGAAAACAGAGTAGAAAAGGAGGATTGTTCTCATTTTTAATACAGACCATCAAAACAGAAGAGGTACTAAAAGATAAGAAACTTTGTCAAAGCCTCCTCAGCTGATCAAACCCCAGCTTCGTACTTGTCTGGTGAAGTTGCACAGGGAAAAAATTGGCATTTGGTGTCTTCATCAAAGTCTCGCTACGTTTTGCCAAATGCTGAGCTGCTTCAGAGAGGCACGACCGAAGCGCAGGCTGCAGTGACTACCAGCACTACAAACAAACAACTTTCCAAAGCAGCACAGGCAGCCCAGGGCTGGGCTGGGAACTGACACGGGAGGCAACCGTGGGAGCTGCCGCCAGCCTGGGGACAAACCGGCTTTCTCCTCAAAGCCACCAGCCTCCAGCACACCCCACATGGGCATCCAGCTAGGGATCTGTCTAGCGGCTGGCAAGGCAATACGCCCACATGCCGTGGCCAAAGAGCAGCAGCAGTCAGCAGAACTGCTCAGCCCATGCTCGTGGGCAGCACGTCCTGCCGGGCTGCGCCGCAGGACCACCGCCCACCCTCCCAGACGAGCATCACCCCGCCAGCTCAGCGCCCGATGGAGTGAGGCATTCCCCTCTGACACGTACACCCATCTCGGATTAAGCCCAGGAAAATAACCTATTTATATGCCAGCAGCGGCCACAGCAGGCAGCTCCATGCTGCCTGCAGCCCCATGCTGCCTGCAGGCCAGCCTGGTCCTGCCCACACCTCTGCTAAAGCGGGCCCTCGATGAGGCTGTGCACAACTAACCACAGGCAGGAGCCCAGGCTCAGGGGGCAGAAACAGTCTGGCAGTGAAGAGCCCGGGCGGAGCAGCGTCACCCGGACAGCCCTTACCCAAGGAAACCCTAAAGAGGCATTTAGGAGCCCCGACCTGGGATCTGTTGCAAGCTTGGCAGCTGAAGACCGGGAGCAGACAATACAAATAACCCTGGGAAAATCACAGACACACTTGACTTGAGCTCTTACCATCTCTAAAAGAGCCGCCATTACTTTGCAGGATGACTCCAGCGTAAGTCACAGCCCCAGGAGGATTTCTGGCTGACAGCACGTAAGATGGGAAGGTCACGATTTGACAAGCGCTTCTTTCAGAAGCGGTAATTACTTCAGCAATCCTTCATCCCACCCCATCCCTAATGTTTTCCCTGTTTTTGCATCACCCCTCTACAAAGTTTAGAAAATGGCTATTTTAAGATGTTTCTTGAGCCAAATCACCACGTACTGTCCTGGCAGAGCCAGAGGTTGTGGGCAGGGAACACAGAGCAGTGACGGTTCATGGCCAGGCTAGGACAGAGTTGAGCAAGTCGTGTTGTCTGTGCCTCAAAAAATTCATTTCGCCCCTCTCTAAAATGGAGAAAAGATGGAGCTGTTCTACGCAGACTTCATATCCAGCTGGGGCATTAACCATACTGTCCTTCGCAAGCATTTAACTCTGCGAGGATCATCTGGGTTGCATAAAGCCAAGAGGAATACAAATGGGACGAGATGGATGTGCAGCTGACGACATGGAGGACCAAGAGGGAAGGGAGAAGCCACATCGGAGAGAGCAGAGAGGAGGAAGAGACTGTTTTGTGCAAGGGCTGAAAATGGGTGCGAGGAACATTATTTGCAAATTATACCTCTTATTATGAGAAAAATGCTTCTACTCAAGAGGAAAATGCCCTGTCTGAGGCAGCATAAAAATGAACTATTTACTAACCGTCAACCCAGGCTGAGCTCCCGCATGACCAATGACTTTGGGGGAAGGAGGGAAGGGATCAGAGTTTTGAGTATTGCAATTATGGCAATTCAAACCTACTGGGAAATGGCTCAATTAAGGGTTTTGAAACGCAGGACATAAGAGCCAGGACCAGGTGCAACCACTCCTCTAGGAAGAAAAACAAGTGCTTTCTTGACTCAAGTCTTTGATTGCCCGAACTACAATAAAAACAGCTTTTTTTTTAGGGGCTCTTGTTGACAATCCTGATTAGGTGGGACCTGCCTACTCTATATATTTTTGCTCCAGTTTCCCTTTGGAAAAGGCACATTCATCCTCCACATTCTGGTTCAGAAAGGAGAGCTGGTTGGTCCAAGATGCCACCTGCACTCCTTGGCTCTGATAAGCAAAAGGAGCCAGTCCCGAGGCATGCCAGCATGCCCTGCGCCATTGCTGCGGCCCGGGGACACCAGGGTGCAGGGCAGGCAGGAGGGGATGCACCCCGAAGTGCCAAGGCAATGGCTCGGCACCGCTCTCCATGGCCCCAAGTCCCACCACCAAGTTTCTGCACCAGTTCCCTGCTGGGCACCAGAGCCAGCTCCTCCCCAGGGCCACCCTGCAGTCCCCACGCCGAGCCCCATCACCCCGCACCCCTGGCCCAGGGGAGCAGAGCCCAGTCCCGTGTCCCCACCGCCGGCGGCTCAGCCTCTCGTGCTGACCCACCAAAGTCTGCACACCACAAAGCACAGCCACCTTCTCAAGGGTCTGGCTTGAAACAAAATACTTACTGCCTTCACTTTGGTTGTCCTTGTTCGAGTTGTATACCTGGAAAACACAAGAAGAAAGTCTTATGAAGACCCCGGCTCCACCTGGGAAGGGACTGCTGACACGTCTGGTGTCACCCTGACTGGTGACAGCTGTCAGGAGGACCTGCCTCGACCTCCCCCAGCAGCATGATCCCCAAAGACCACCACAGCCTTCTATATTCAAAACATCAGGTTGCCACAGCTTTGGAGTTGTATTAAAATAACAACTAGGACAGTTCTTAAAACAAGAGAATGCAAACGGGATGGACTAGGTAAAAACAGAAACTGAAGGGGCTTTTAAACAAAGCAAAGGTGGGCATTCCTCTCCTCTATGCTCTTCTCAAAGACGCACATAAAGGATATAAACTTAGAGCAAAGCAGACAATATTTCCTTTACATCTTACGGGCATTACAGTAACATCTGGTAGGTGCAACTCAGGCAAGGAGTAGGAAGCCACCCTCACTCACAAGTACTTACAGCCTGAATGAACGAGTCAGGCAAAGAGTAAGAGAGGAAAAGAAATGTCATTAATTTAGAGAGGACCTGAAATGCAGAAGGATGAGGCAATGCACGTAGCACTGCCTGCGACAGAGCCACCTTCTGAGCCAATGCTGTGGCAACTCTCCTGTCTTCAAATACCAGTGCTCTTCCTCCTGTCCCAATCACTACTACAGCCTGGCTACTTTAGATTAAAGTAATGTTTCAGTGGATACAATAAAAAAGGGAAAAACAATGGCAGAAGGTTTTAATCACAGTTTGAGGACGATTTAAAAGCCTCGTATAATGAAAACTGCAGCTGTAAGAAGAGCAGCCTTCAGACAGGTTGTATTTCTCTAGCTCAACAGAGTAAAATGTTTTAAAATAATCCCTTGTCAACCCAGAGCCCCAACAGACACACACACCCCTCGGTGCTCCATCAGCATCCCAAGCGGGAGCCAAGCATGGCAGCATCCATTGAAACAGGAAAAAAGGCCTGTGTAGGCTGTTAAACAAAGCCAGCGGCGTGCACACCCTTCCTCTGCTGGGAACAAAGCTGGGAGCCCCCTTCCACCGGGAGCGAAGCATGGGGAACTGATTTCATCACATGCTACCTCCAGAAATAGCAAGTGGAGAAGGCAAGTTTCCAAAGGCGATGTTGATAGCAACACACAAGGCAGCAACAGCCGACACATCCGAGGGGAGCGGGGAGGAGGAGAGGCTCTGATCTGCAATCAGGCAGGCAAGTGTTTCTCAACCTTTCCCACCGCAGGCTCCCAATGAATGATATTAACACTAAGGACAGAGATTCAGAAGCTGCCCTGGGTGCAAGGGTTTGTGTGCTTCCAGTGGGGTCCCTGCTGTCGGGATTTCCCCCAAGAGCTCCAGCAGAAGCACGAGGCCAGAAAGCTGACAGTATAATGCCCTCAAGGATCGGTGCCAGCAGCAGCCGGGCACGGACACTGCTGACCACAGCAGACCTCAGCACCGTGCTCACCCTGGGTGCCCCAACACCAGCCCGATACCTCCATTGCCCATACCAAAAAAAAAACCCACAAAAAGGCTGTGTGCCACATAGCACATCATTGTTAGGCCACGTAAACAGATGCCTTCCTTGGAGGTCATCAGAAACACAGGCTGTTCCTGTGCTCTCCTGCCTGTCGGCCATGGTGCCAGCCCTGCGGAAAGCCACCGAAGCTGCAGCTCCATGGACACCTCTGCGGCGGAAAAGCAACTGCAAGCAGCTCTCACCCTGCACGCCGGCTGCATGTGCCAGTCGGGGCGGTGAGCTGACCAAGGGAACTTAGTCAGCATTAAAGAATGAAATGACCCTGTTTGTCTCCTACAGGTTTATCTTTAACGGAGGGAGACCTGTCCCTCGACGCCATCCATCACAAGGCCACAGCCAGCTGCGCTGGCACCAGCCAGAGAGCCGCAGGACAGCATTAGCTGTCCACCCAGGACACGCTCAGGGAAGCACAAATGTAGCTCAAAACTGGGGGTCTGGGCAGAGACTGACCCCTCAACACTAATTCCCACTCTTCCTGGAACGTTTCCCAAGGAGCACCTTCCCCCTCCCAGGGCACCTAGCTATGCAACGCAAGACAAGGTAGAGATTTTTGTTTGCAGGAGAAAATCTATCATCCCACATCTGGAAACTGGGGGATGATTCAGCAGCAAAAAGAGCTGTAGTCAGCAAGTGAGTTTTCCTCCAGGAACAGTGTTTATATCAAGAAAATAAAATAAGGGAAAAGAGGGAAGGAAACCAACAGCAGGCTCCTCTGCCAGTGGTGCTGTCTAGCAGCCCCGGCCATGAAGTCGACTTTCTCATTTTTTCTCTCCAACTTCAGTATCAGTGTTGAGGACGCATTGAAGGGACCAGAGAGACAGCTTGAGGTAACTCTGACTCCAAGGCTTGCAGATGCACGGCCCTTCCTCAGGATCCTACGCAGACTTCAAGCCCTGGCTCACCCCAGACATACAGGTTAACACCATATACAATAAAAGGGTGACTCGGCTCTTACAGCCTTGCTTTCCAGTTACTTGGGTTACTACCCAAGAGGTCCCCCCAGTCAGCACCCTGCTTTGCCCGAGGCTGCGGTCCCAGCCCGGCCACTGCCCTTGCTGAGCACACACCAGCTCCTGTGCTTGGGACACCAAAATATTTTCCAGTTCTTCTGGGTCAACCCAGCTTTCAGCCCCTTGCTCTGGCACCTAACACGCTTCCTGGCACAGATTCACTACCTGCTGTCCTTCTCCCAGTGGTTTCCTCTGCCACCCAGGCCTAAAGCACCAGTCATGCAGCTCAAGTTATGGTGCACAGCACATCAGCTACAGGGAAAAATGTGTCTGCCTGCATATTTGCTCTTCCAGTTTGGTTACATGAAACAATAGAGAGGTTGTTAATCATCAGAGACTGCTCTTTAAAAAAAGGGAAAAGGACAGACAAGGAAATACAATATGCTCATGCCATTAATTGCAAAGTATGCACACAGTGAAGAGGAAATTTCACGCAGAGGTCAACTATGCAACCATAAAACAAGGAGATACTGTCAACCTACATCCATCTTATTAAGGACAAACCTTTTATCCATTGTCAGTGTGTTAATCCATTAACACCACTCTATAACATCAAGGTTTTAACCAAGCCCCATTTCTGTAATATCATTTCCTTTTCCAAGAAAAACATTACTTTTAAAAAGAAATCCTTTCGCTATACTGCCTCAAGCCTTTTGAAGAGAGAGATTTTTTAGCATGAGAGAAAGTTTCCAAGTTTGAAGAAAGGTCTGCTGTGTAAGAGGTCCAAGAGCGAAGCTTCTCCAGTGCCATAAAGGCCATCTTCTGCCCCGCTGTCAAAAACGTGCCCTTAGGGCAGCCAGGCTGGGCTGGCCCAGCCCGCAGAGACCCCTCGGGGTCTTGGCACAGCAAAGGTCACTCCTGCCCAGCTTGGCTTTACAGATATTAATATTCCCCTCTTTCCAAAGTAGCCTTGAAAATATGCAGGGCTTAAAGCACAAGGATGCATTTTAAGATTAGGCTTGACATGCTTCACAGTTGATGGACCAACCTTCTTCCCTGCGAAAGAGTGCTGAATTTTAAAGAGGTTCTTACTATTCATTATACCCAAGTCTCCATTGATTACTGACAAAAATAAAGCTACAGATTGTTCAGACAGGAGCATGTTTCCCCTGCACCATCCTCCTTCTAACTCCACCACACTGTTACACTGTCAATTCATCTTTACACAACCACAGAAAATGATAAATCCAATCACTTCTCGCAAGGGACAGAGGCAACGGAGGCCTTGCACTGCCTGGCGCTCCCCATGCACAGCGTGCTCTCTGAGCTGCCCAACTCTGGTGAACAAGCTCTGCAACCCAGTCCAGCACAGAAGAGCTCAACACATAGAAAAACTCAGCACAGCTGGGGGAACCTCCAGTAACCCCCATAGCTACTGGGTTGCTCCATCTCTGGATCTGTGTTCAGACAACAAAGATCTTTGGAGCTCCCTGTACACAGCTGCTCTTCCAGCAGAAGCTGTGAAGCCACCCCTGTTGTCCCAGGTCCACCCGGCAGCTCAAGCCCACCGCTGCCCATGGCCCTTGGGCAGAAGCACCGGTCTGCAAATGCAGCCAGCGTGGTGACCACGGCTGTTTCTCCTTCACCAGGTTTGAATCCAGCAGAGGCAACCATCCCACTGCTGCCTGCCAACTATAGAAAGCCTTTGGCTGCAAGCATCTCCCCCAGGTTCAGGGCTGCCTGCCCACACCAGCAGCACAGCAGCACGTCTGCTCCCAGGGCAGAGGACCAAAGGGACAGTGAGTGTGCAGAGGGGGAATCACCTTACTTGGTTGTGTAAAGGACTAAAAATATTTCCCCATAGGATTTGTAGGCAAAGGACAAAACAGTCATGAAACAGTTGCGAGATCTCCACAGCAATGCTCTCTGCCCTACCCCAGGCTCGCTGCTTGCAGCACACAGAGAGCGTCATCGGGGACACAGGCTGCACAGCGGCTCAGGACGCGGGGGACTGGCGTGCCCGGGGTGGATGCACAGCGCCGAGACCTGCGGCTGCGGCCACGTCTGTCCCGGGAGAAGTGTTGGAAGAGATGGGCGTCAGGCTGGGGGCACACAGCCTTGAAAGACCTCTTCCAAACAGCTGCCAAGTGCTGGATTTGAAGAGAGAGGCAGGTATATCTTTTTCCCCCTCCCAAAATCCTCTTTCTTGCATGTCTGTGCACAATTCCTGTGCAAAGGTTTGTTGCAGGCTGCCTCGCCATGGCCGTGTGGGTGAGCGCCAGGTGCTGGTTTGGCACGAGATGCGGCGCCGAGACATGGGGCTCTGACGCTTGTGCCAGCCCAAGTGTGAAGGGACAGCGTGGCTACACCTCGCAGGGTAACAACATTTAGCAGACAGCCCATGAGAGGTTTGCGGAGGACGGGCACTTCTGCAGACACGCACATCGCCCAGGATAGAGCCAGATGATAAAATACCATAAAATAGGTGTATTTGTATATGCACACACACCATTTTCCTGTTG